TTAATATTTTACACCCCCCCTTTTTTCTTTTCTAATGTAAATATCCAGGCCCTGTAAATTTTTTTTTAGCTGCATCTTGGGTTTTGATGTGTGGATTTTTCAGTATACTCAGCTCTAAGTATTTTCTACTTTTCCTGATTACAATTTTTCTACAACCCCTGAATTATTTAGCTGTTTGCTTTTAAATTTTCTATATACAATCTTTAGAAGTTATCACTTAATTCAGTTCTGATTTGGTCAGAAGTGCTGACACTTGCTGACCAGCATTGCCTTGTGTCTTACTGTGTGGTCACCTTTTGCAAATGTTTGGGGGAATGTATTTTGTAGACATCCGAATCAGCCTGCGCGCTCTGCTCACCTCCTATGCGACCCTTCCCAACCTTTGTGTCTCCCCTAATGGTTACTGCGAGATGCAAAGCTGTGTGTTCTTACCATTCCTATTTGGCATAACTTGTTAGTGAGTTTGGTCACATTCAGAACCCCAGTTCCCCTGTGATGCATGTTGCCTCCTGTGGGCTTTGCCTTGCTCCAGAGCCTCGTCCTGGTGCGTCTGGAGCACTCATGCCCATCGTTGGTGATCAGAATCTTCTGAACATTCTCGCTGTAACTGGGAGTCCTCAGTCATGAGGAGTTCCTCTTTCACGTTCTGCTGAGATTTGCCTCAGGACATCGGCATCTCCATGTGTTTGAGAGCAGCCTGTATCTATGAGGGAGGCATGTGTGTGTGTATAAGTGTGTAAGCTTATGGTGTGTGCATTATAGGACATGCATGTGTGTTAGTGTGTGTTGGGGAGTTATGTTGATGAGAAACATAGGTGTATGGATGTGTGTGGCATATTGTGTGCTGGGATGTGGGCCCATGTGTGGGGAGTTATGACTGTGTGTGTGATTGTGTGTGGGTATGCACACATGTGGAGTTATGGTCAGGAGTGGGGTATGTGCATATGTGTGGGCAGTTAGGGTTGGGAAGGAATGGGGTGTGTGCATGTGAATGCGCATAGATGCACACATGCACGAGGAGTTACATTTGTGTGGAGCATTTGTGTGTGTGTATGGGTGTAGTATATGCTAGGATTTGTACACATGTGTAGGATTATGATTGTGTGAGTAGAATGGAGTATATACACACAAGTGGAGAACTATGACTGGGGGGGATGGGTGTCTATGTTGTGTGTTGTGTGGAGGTGTACTGGGGCATGCACACAGATATGGGGAGTTATGGTGTGTTGTGGATGGGGTTTGTGAATGTGTATGTGGGCATTGGGGTGTCCATACAGGTGAGTACATGTGTGTGGGTTTGTTGGGCCTTGCACACATGTGGGGGGTTATGATTGTGGAAATAGGCTGGGTGTTGTATGTTTATGTATGTATACATGTTCAGGTGTGTACACATGCAAGCATGCATGTGTAGGGTGTTTGAGTGTGTATATGTATGATTGCATACGTGTTCGTTTGTGTACATACATATGTGTGTGCATATGTGTTGATGTGAGCATATTTATAAGCGTGTGGGGTGTTTGAGTGAGCACTCATCTGTATGTGCATGTGTAGTGTCCAGGTAAATATGCATGTGTGTGTGCATGTGTGTATATGTTCTAGTGTCCATGTGTGTTCAGGTATACATGTGTGTGCATGTAGGTGCCAGGGTCCACACACTCACATGTATGTTTACATGTTCCAGCGTGCATGTGTAGTGTTCAAGCATGTATGTGTGTGTGCATGTGTGCATTGGCGTGTGCACTCAACATGTGCACGTATGTATGTGCTCCAGTGAGCTTGTGTGGTGTGCAGGTACATACACATGTACATGTGTGTGCCAAGGAGTGCTCACATGCACATGTGAGTACATGTTCCAGCAGTCATGTGTGGTGTTCAGGTACGTGTGTGTGCATTATGGGCCAGGGTACTCGCACATGTGTGTGTGTACATGTTCCAGTGTGTGTATTGTTCAGGTATACATGTGTGTGCACGTGTGTTAGGATGTGCACACACATGCAGATAGATGTATGTGTGTGTGTGTGTGTGTTTCAGTGTGCGTGTGTAGCATTCATATATACATGTGTGTGTTCAGGTGTGTGCTCACACGTGCACACACGCTCCAGTATGCATGTGTATTGTTCAGGTATACATGTGTGTGTGTTTGTGCATGTGTTAAGGTGTGCACTTACATGCATTTATATGCATGTATTTCAGTGTGCATGTCTAGTGTTCATGTATACGTGTGTGTGTGTTTTAGGGTTGTGCTCACATGTGTATGTGTGTACATGTTCCAATGTGCCTGTGTAATGTTCAGGTATACATGAATGTGTGTGAGCATGTGTGTTAGCTCACATGCACATGTATGTACTATTTCAGTGTGTGTAGTGTTCAGGTATACATGTGTGCATGAGTGTGTTAGGGTTTGCTCTCACATGTGTATATTTGTACGTGTTCCAGTGTTCATGTGTTATGTTCAGATATACGTGTGTGTGTGTTGGCATGTGCACTCATGTGTATATGTGTGTTTCCATGTGCTTGTGTAGTATTAAGGTATACATATGTGTGCATGTGTGTTTTAGGACATGTGCTCACATGTGTATATGTGTACTCGTTCCCGTGTGCATATGTAGCATTCAGATATACATGTGTGTTCATGTGTGTTAGTTTATGCTCACATATGTATGCATGCACATGTTCCAGTGTGCGTATGTAGTGACCAGTTATACATGTATGTGTGTGCATATGTGTTAGAGTGTGAACTCACAAGTGTATGTATGTGTGTGTTCCAGTGTGTGTGTGTGTGGCATTCAAGTATATATGTGTGTGTATGTGCATGTGGTGTGTATGCTCAGGTGTGCACACGTGTATGTGTGGGAGTTTAGGTGTGCATGCATTGCATGTGTAAAGGTGTGTTTGAGTGCACACTTACATGTGCATGTGTATTTTAGTGTGCACATACATGTGCATGTGTATATATACACACACACACACACACATATAGGTGCTCTGGTAGTGCAGTGGTTATGAATCGGGCTGTGAACCTCAAGGTCAACAGTTCGAAACTACCAGCTGTTCTGTGGGAGAAAGATGAGGGTTTCTGCTCCCATAAAGATTTATAGCCTCGGAAACCCTGTACAGGGTCGCTATGAGTCGGACCAACTCCACAGCACATAACAACAACAACAAATATATGTACATGCAATCATCTGGATCTTTGGTTGGGCACACATCTGTATATGCACGTGTAGTGTTCAGCTATATGCACGTGGGTGTTTGGGTATGTACATGTGTGTATGTGCATGTATATTTCTTCCCATGTGAACAATGGTGTATGTGTATGTGTGGATGTTTGGGTATGAGTGCACGTGTGTGGCATGCCATACACATGGCATGCATACATGTATATGGTAGGTGTTTAAGTGAACACACACATGTGTATTTGCATATGTAGGGGTGTTTGGGTGCCCACACACACATGTATGCATGTGTGGATGTCCAAGGTGTGAAAATGCATGTGTGTGCATGTGTTTAGGTGTGGCGATGTGCACACAAGTGTATATGAATACATGTACATATACATGTGCACGTACACATGAATGTTATATGCTATGCATGCATAGGAACATGTGTCCCTGTGTGCATACATGTGTCTGTGCCTGTGGAGGGGATATTTTGGCATGCACACAATTGTGTAAGTGCATGTGTGCAGCTGTATGAGTGAGTGCAGATGTGTGTACTCATGATTGTGCATGTGTGTAGATGTTCTAATTTGTGCACATGTGTACATGTGTCAGTGTTCAGGTGTAAGCATATGTGTGTGCATGTGCGTATATATACATACACATACACACATGTGTGTTTTGGTGTGCGCCCGTTGTGTGCACATGGGGAAATTCATTTGTTTACATATGCATGTGAGTGTTCAAATGTACAATACATATGTACATGTGTGTGTTTGGTTGTGTACATACATGTGTGTATGTGCGTTCAGGTGTGCACACATGTATCTGTGTATCTGGTGGTGTTTGGGTTGTACATACAGGTATGAGTGTTCAGGCGTGCACATGTGTTTATTATGTGGGTTTGTATGTGTGTACTATCTGGGGTGGGTTTGTGTGTGTGTGTGTATGTGTGTGCTAAGTGGGGTGGGCTTATCTGTGTGTATGTGTACGTGTGTGCTCTTGGCCACTGGTTTATGTACTTTCTTGTATGTGTGTGCTAAGCGGGGTGCACTTCATTGGCAAGCTGCAGTGGCCCCTGACAAATGGCGCCGGGAGGTGTGGACAGTCAGAGCCAGGCCCCAGCGCCTGCCCAGACTCCACGTCCCCTGTGTGATGGCTGTTCTGGGCTCTTCGTCATTTGCAGCGTTTGTGATTTATATTTTCCATCATCCTGTTTTGTCAGGAGTTTCAGATTTATGCGCACAGCCTCACACTGTGTCCTCTGAGAGCAGATAGAGAAGGCCTGTGTGTGCTGTGTTTGCTTTCTTGCTGGAAAATGTGCTTTCCTGCATCCCTTCCCATCTCTGTGTGCACAGGGTTGTCCTTGGAGAGGAACCTCTAGTGGTCGAGGTCTACTCTGCCTGCACGTCCTCACCCTTGAGCCCCATCCCCCTGCACAGGGGAACCCCTGTCCCTCCCCCATCAGCAAAACTCTTTCAGAGCTCAAGCGAGGCAACCAGGGAGGCCCCAGCTGGAAAGGAGACCTAAGGGAATGTCCTGGTGGGAAGGGGATAGACGTGGAAGCCCCTGGTACAGAGGGGTGCCTCCTGCTCTGAACCCCAAGATGAGAACTGCCCCAGCACAAGCGTACACCTGGTGGAGGGGGGTCTGCTCACTTTATTCCCAGACCCCAAGAGGTGGGGGAAGCAGGGACGGAGGCATGGGGGGAGCTCTGTGATGGGTCGGGGGCCCCAATGCGGAGAACTGTTGTGGAGCCCCGAAAAGAACTTTGAAGTGAGCGCTGGGGAGCTCGAGTGGGTCCGGGTCCCTGCCTCAGGTCTCCATTCAGATTCTCCATCTTTACTTCCAGCGGCCGCCGACCTTGCCCTTGGCAGTGGCACCAGCCTTCTTGCTACTGCAAATGGGAAGCAAAGTGGCCTTGAGTGTCAAGGTGGTGGGGGCCAGACCGAGTCCCACCTGGGTCCCCAGACCCTCGGCCCTGGCAGCTTGGGCCCGCACGGCGAGGGTCTGGCCCGGTCCCCTCATTTCCCATGCACACACTTCAATCAGCTCAGTGGCACCAACTCACCTGTACCTGGGCTGGTACCTGGGCCTGGCAGCTTGACGCAAGGAGTCAGTGTGGTTAAGGGGACCGGGGGTTAGTGCAAACATAGGACACCCTCCCTCACCCTCCGTCTCCTGCCTGAGGGATTGGGGTGTGGGTGGCCGTGGTGGCCCTGCCCCCCACACATCTGTCTTCTCAATTATCTGTTTAGGCAGAGTTTGTCTTCTTGTGTGGCAGAAAGAGATGGAATGACATTCTATTATCCTCCACCCAAATGGGGGTCTCACCCCAAGGACCAGGGGTGGGACTGGGAGGCCTTGGTCCCATGACCACCAGCTGGGGCTGAATCCTAAAGATCAGGAGTTCAAGGCTGAGAGGTTGTGGTCCTCGGAGCCTGCCCCTGCTGGGGTCTTTATACACTGTACCCCATGAGGGAGCTGGGTTGTAGGTTGTGGGCTGAGAGCATTTCAGGCCCAGATTTCTGAGGTCAGGCATTGCCAATCAACAGGACCTTTGGCATGTGAGGACAAGGCCTGACTTGTGACCTTGTCTGTGGTCAGGCCCCTTCTGCAGGAGGAGGGGAGCTGGGGAGACCCACCGAGTCTGTGCATGCAACCTCTACATGCCCTGTGACCTGAACGTAGAGACCAGGGTTGGGGGCTGTCTTCCTTGTCATCAGCCCCGGGAACAGTGAGGAAGCCAGGACTAGTGGGGAGATGGTGGAAAATCCCCCCCAAACCCTGCGACTCCACCTTGCCAGCTGGGCGAATCTGTGACAAGCTCTGGGTGTCTGTGATGGGCCTCAATGGGAACTTCCCTAATAGCTTTACATGGGCCCCCAGGCCTGCGGTGGGAGAGTGCGTAGATTTACTAACTCTTCCCCCAGGGACTGAATTAGAGCCCTCGGTCTGGACCCTTTGCCGGGTTCCCGTCTGCAGTGAAATGCTGTCGGAAGACCATGGGTCTGGGGTCTCTGGATGGGTGAGGCACCCCCGGCCTTTGCTCCCCTGGTCTCCATGCTAGGTCTGAGCAGGGCAGTGGGTCCCGCCGACATGCTGCCTGGACCTGTGGCTAGTTGGGTTACACTCTGTGCAGGCTGCCACCACTGGCCCTAGGCTCAGGGTCTGTTGGCCAGCACAGAGCGAGGGAACACACTACTCACTGTTTCTGAGCCTGGTCGATACGGCTTCGGAGGGTGGTGATCTGTAAACAACACGACACCTTACTGTGCCAGGCTGAGCTGGGCAGCTGGGCAGGAGAACTGGGAGTGTTCCCTCAGCCGATACTCGTACTGACCGTTCCTCAGCCGAAGTCACAGGACCATGGTGCCCCCACACAGACAACAGGTACCCTTACTGCTTCCTGGTGTCTCTTGTGAAGGGACACCATCCTCCGGCCCTCAGCTCCTGCCTCCCTGTTACTCACAGTGGCCTGTACTGGGGACCTGGACCAGGGTACGCAGCAGCAGCTCTGAGTGACCGCTTACCTGCAGCTGTGGTGGCATACGGGCCAGTGTAGCCACAGGGAGCTGGGGACTTGCAAGACCCTCTGTCTCCACCTGGTTGCCTTCTGCAGACCCCGGGGTCCTGGCTGGTGATCCCAGCACAAAACTACACACTTTTGTTCTCTCTTTGCCTGTCCAGCCGCCCTTCCTCCAGAGTCCACTTGGGGGCCGGCAGGAGGAGGGGGCAGGAGGAGTGGCAGAGGCCTCAGCGTTCTGTGAGACCTGAATGGTGCCATGCACGAGCCCTCTGTGCCACACACAGGGCACTCGAGTACTTACAACCTAGCCAGCATCTCCACTCTGGCCCGTACATTCATGATCTGGAAAGACCAGAGAGTTATGGGGCTGGCTGGGGGCTGAGCCTGGTGGTCCTCCCTCACCTCCACTGCCTAGGCTGTGACCTCAAGGCTCCCCAGTTCTGAGGCCCCCACAGGCTGTGGGTGGGTAGTGTGACCGCAATGTGGGGCAGGCTAGAGTGAATGCAGCTGGAACCCCGGACTTGGCTCTGTGGAGGACCCCGAGGAGGGGCAGCCCTGTTCTCTCAGCCTGCCCCTGAGCCTGGACTGTGTGGAGCTGTGCAGCTGCCCCACAAGGTTCATCCCAGGACCTCCTTTTGCTAGAGAGAGGAAACGGAGGCACAAAGAGGCTAGGTGGCTTGCCAAAGAACACAGAGCACCAAAGAGAGCCCCCAAGTGTGTGCCCACTACCCTGTGCCATGCTGTCTCTGCACCCTGCTCAAGCAGTTGAAGGGAACATCGGAGGCATGTACTCCCAGGTTCGCACCCCATGTGCAGGCTCTTGGGCTCAAAGTTCTAGGAGTCACGCCCGGATTCCTCTTCTGGCTGATGCTGGCTCAGAGGGCAGGAAACAGCCCTCCACATTGTCGCCCTACTTCTTAGACCACCAAAGTAGGCTACCTTTGGGAACCTGGACCCCCACCGAACCATGTGCTTCAAGCATTAAGGTGTTGTGGTCTGAGCCTCAAGGCTCACCTCTGGGTGGAGGCATGTCCCCCTCCCCCTGCAGTGAGACCAGCAGAGGCAGCACCACCCCAAATCAGTTCCTTGGGGGTTCTGGTGGGGGTGTGAGGAGGTATGTGTGTCAGACAGGAGATGGTCACCACACAGGGAACCAGGGCACCAGCTGTCCACACGGACGCAGGAAAGCCGATTTCTCAGACTGGTGGAGTCTGGCCTTGCAGAGACACAGGGGGTGGGGGCTTACCCCAGTGTAAGGGCCGGCATGTCCTCCAGAGATGAGCTCAGTGACAAGCGGGCTCCCTTCCAGCCTAAGGGACCCTGTGGGCCCTCACCCCATGGTTACCCAGTTACCCCTGTGCACCCATGGGATGTGCCCCAGCCTCAGGGGTTCGGGGGGCACTGTGGAAGGTTAGGGGGCTGGTGCTGCCCCTGTTGGTGGGAGATCTGAAGGCTCATGGGCTGGCAATCCTGCACTCACATCATATTTCTGACGCTTCAGCTTCTCTCCAAACTCATACTTGTCAGTTTCAAGCTGGTACAGGGTGTCCCAGAGTTCCTTGGCCTTGTCCCTGGGGAGATGGACAAGGGGACAGTTGGGCGGTCATGCTCTGGACAGGCAGGGCCAGATCTGCCCACTCTTCTCTTCCAGCTGTTCCAGGGGCAATGTTCTGGATGTTTGTGGAGGCCAGTCTGCCACCACCCCACTGCCTTGTTCCCCAGGAAGCCTGTGCCCCTCACCTGAGTTTGTCGTCACCGAGGTGATCAATGTTGAGTGGCTTGCGCCTCTCAGCCAGGATCTTCTTCTTCATCTCCCGGGCGGTCTGTTTCTTGCCTCTCTTCTGGTCAGCCTATGGGGGGACAGGCCCAGGGAGAGGGGACTGGTGTCAGGAGCCTGGTTTGGGTGGAGGCCAGGCCATCACTTGACTGTGAGGACGGCACTCACCTTGGCCAGGTAGCTGCTGTAGTTGGCACCCATGGAGGACAATGCTTTCTTCTTTTTCAGATCGTCCTCAGCTCTTCTCTTGGCATCCTCCTCCTCCCTCCTGGCTTTCTCCTCCTGGGAAGACCCCATCCCCAAGACCCTCAGATGTGCGGTCATGGCTGCATTGTTTCCTGGAAAGACTCCAGCGCCCCGTTGCCAGACTTGGAACTTTTTGGAAGCTCCAGGTCCTCATTGGTTGAGGTTTGCCATTTTGCAGGGAGTTCTAAGGGCGAGGCCACCAGGAAGCCTCACCAGGGAGTCTGTGAGTGAGACCCAGGAGGAGGAAGGAAGGAACTTTGTGCTTCTGGGGCTCATTGGTTGAGGGAGGGGAGCCCCGGGCCTTACCGCCAGTCTGTTCTGACGCTCCCGCTCTTTCTCGGCCCGGATCCGCTGTTGCTCTGCTCTCTCTGCCCGGCGCTTCTCCTGTGGCCGGAGGAGCAGGTCAGCCAGCGTAGCCTTTTCTCCCTCCAAGAGCAGCCCCCAGGACCCCCTCCAGTCATCTTGGGACTTGAGCTGGGACCACAACTGGCCAGACTCACAATTCTTTCTTTGAGAGCTATCAGTTCCTCCTCCTCCTTCTTCCGGGCTTCGAAGTGGTTGTCAATGAGAGCCTGGAGCTCCATGAGGTCTTTGTTCTGACGCTTCTTCTGGATGTCCTGTGGGCAGGAGGTGCCCATCAGTCCCTACGCTACCTCTCACACCCTGGATCTGTCTGCACCAGTTGAAAAGGCGTGACTCCAGGTCACCAGAAAGCCGAGAGCTACAAGGGGTCATACCCACATATTGCTCTCCTGAGGGTCCAAAGCTGACCAATTCCTGAGTCACAGGGTGGGAATGGTCCCCATTTAATGTGAAAGTCTAAGCCCCGGCAGGTCCTGTCCAGCTATGAAGTGATCAATACCCCTGGGATGAAATGGCTCTGATGTGGCCCTGCTGCCATCGTGAGTAATGTCTTGAGTGGACCCAGCAGAAAAGAGTGTGACCAGTGAGCTAACTTGCTGGACAGATAATCAGCTATGTGAGTGAGTGGATGGGTGGATAGGTAGATGGGTGTGTAGAAGGAAGGAAGGATACTTGGATAGATGGATGGATGGATGCATGGGGAGGTAGATGGGTAGACGGATGCATGGGTGAGTTATGGGTATGTGCAGGAATAGTTGTATGGTGGATGAATGGGTGAGTGGATGGATGGGTAGATGGATGGATCAGTGGGTGGGGGGATGGATGGATAATGGGTGGATGGATAGATGGGTGGATGGGTGGGTGGATGGATGGATGGGTGGATGGATGGGTGGATGGATGGATGGATGGATGGATGGATGGAGAGATGGGTGGATGGATTGATGGATGGGTGGATGGATGGATGGGTGGATGGATGGATGGGGTGGATGGATGGGAAGATGGATGGATGGGTGGAAGGGTGAGTGAGTGGATGGATATAAATAGACAGAGGGATAGATATGTGGGATGGATGGATGAGTGGATGGATGGCGAGATGGATGGGTGGATGGATGGGTGGGTGGATGGATGGGTGGAGAGATGGGTGGATGGATGGATGGGTGGGTGGATGGATGGATGGATGGGTGGATGGATGGATGGATGGGTGGGTGGATGGAGGGGAAGATGGATGGATGGGTGGAGAGATGGGTGGATAGATGGATGGGTGGATAGATGGATGGGTGGATGGATGGATGGGTGGGTGGATGGATGGATGGATGGGTGGATGGATGGATGGATGGATGGATGGATGATGGGTGCATGGATGGATGGGTGGGTGGATGGATGGGAAGATGGATGGATGGGTGGAAGGGTGGGTGAGTGGATGGACATAAATAGTCAGAGGGATGGATATGTGGGATGGATGGATGAGTGGATGGATGGCGAGATGGATGGGTGGATAGTAGATAATAGATAGATGAATGGATGTGGGTGAGTTGGTGGGTGGATTAAGTATATATGTATATATAAATGGAGTACAGTCCTGGTGTGGTGCTGTAGGGTAAGCACTGGACTGTTAATCCAAAACCTGGTGACTGAAACCCACCAGCTGCTCCTTGGAAACCCTGTACATGGTTGCAGTAAGTCAAAATGGACACAACATCATTTGACAACAACATATGAGTGGATGGATGGGTGCTTAGATGGATGTGTGGCTGGCTGGATGTCTGTATGAGTGTGTGAATGGAGGGTTTTTTTTGGAGGGGTTTCCTCTAGCCCAGAAATGAACAAAGGTGGAATTCACTGCACCAAGAAATCCCAGCTCTGGAACCTTGAAGAGGGGTGACCGTCTCAGGCCTAGTCTGGAGGGGCTCTGGGCACAGAGTGGAGAGCCTTCTGACTCAAATTCCACAAACTTACATCGAAATCTACTTTCTCCCCTTCCGGGATCTTAGGAGCAGTGAGTCTGAAGAAGAGAGAAAGTGTGGTTTAGGAGCAGAAGTAGCGTGAGACCCCACAAGGGTCAGACTGGCCCACCTGACCTGCGCCCAGGTTGTCTTGGCACCGTCTCACCAAGCACTTTGCTTCACAGACATCTGCTTCATGGACATGTATATAACACACTGTCTAGAGAGTGGCTCAGCCCCTTGAGAACCTTTTAATATCGTCACATCCTTTTCTGTTTTGCCACTGTCTCAGCCCTTGGGGTTGTTTAACACATGGGACTCGTTCTTACACAATAAACAAAGTAGATGATAGATGAATAGTGGGTGGATGAGTAGAAGGAAGGAAGGATGGGTGGATAGATGGCTGGCTGGCTGGCAGATGGTTGGATGGTTGGGTGAGTTGGTGGGTTGGTGGGTGGATACATGGATAGATGGATGGGTAGGTGGATGGATGCACAGGGAGGAAAATGACTGGCTGGCTGGCTGGTGGCTAGCTGGATAGGTGGCTGGTTGGATGGGTGGGTGAGCTGGTTGATGGTAGATGGATACATTGGTATATGGTGGATGGGTGAGTAGTGATAATAGAAAAGTGATTGGGTGGATTATGTATAAATGCTTGCAAGTAAACAAAGGCTGCCAAGTTGGGGCTGGAGGTGAGGTAGCTATGCCAGTCTCAGGGGGCAGTGGGCAGGTGGTAGGTCCATGTGGTCAGGGGGTCACCCCTTACATTTCTCTGGCACTTGTCTTCTCTTTCTGGAAACTCCAAGGAAAGAGAGAAAGTGATCTGGGAAGAGAGCAACTTGAAGGGCCCTCAAGCCCCCCAGCCCTGCCCCTTCTCACTGCAGTGCATTCTGGGTGGACTAAAGAGTTAAAACACAAAGACAGTCGTCGAAGAAAGTGGCACTGTCTATTGACCAAACTTCTCGAGCTGGAAAATGTTTTCTAAGCTCAGAAGGTCCCAGAAGGGGGAAGAAAGCCAGATAACTATACATAAATGAAAAAGTTATGCATGTGAAAAAAAAAAAGGGGGTGGGGGTGGGGACTAGAAAAATATTTTCAGCAAATCTGGAGAAGACTTAATATCCTTATGCAAACGGATGATTAAGGAAAAGAGAGCGAGGTGCTGGAGCCGCCGCCGCCCACCCGTTAGATAAATGGACACAGGTACAAGCTACCAATTCTCCAAGAAGACAGACAACCAGTTACCAACCACATGGGCGGAGGTTTTCCCTCGCTAGTAATCAAAGGCAGGCAAAGGAAAGCAACCTGAGCAGCCGTTTCTCCTACATCAAGGGCTGCGATCTGAAAGCTGGGTGCTGTATGCCCTTGGAAGGCTGAGGGTGTATAGACCCCATCACATACTACGTCGAAGGTCTTGGCAGCACCTTCATGGAAAGCAATTTGGCACAGGATGTCAAAAGCCTCAGAACATCATACTCTTTGACCCAGTAATCCCAGTTCTGGGATTTGGGCCTAGGGAAATAACTCGATAGACAGAAAGTGTTTCCCACCCAGCGTTATTTATGATAGTAAAATATTGGAGCAAGCCTTCATATCCTACAATAGAGGAATGGTTAGGAAAATTATGGCTTGCTCGATGGATGGAATACTATGTGGCCATTCAAAATATTTAAGAAGCCGATGTAAAAACATGGAAAAATACTTATGAATAGTGCTAAATTGTAGAAAGGCAGAATTCAAGGTCGTATAGACAGAACGATGTTTAAAAAATAGCAGAGGTTTAAAACTTTTTTTTTTTTTTTTCCAAAGCCCTATGCATGGAAAACTTGTGGGAAGAAATAAAGCTTTTTTATTTCTTTCCACCCTTTTCCACAGTCTGGCTGGCTGGGTGGGAGAATAGGGGGTGCTTTTTTTTTTTTTTTTCTTTTCATTAGACTTTTACGTATTTTCCAAATTTCCTTTAATGAGGTGTTTTGTTTTCATAGCGAAAACACAAACCGTGCTTTTGAGCTGGAAAAGACCTTGTGATCTGTACGACTTTGATTTTAAATCGCTGGAAAAGAAAGTGCAGGGGTGGGCAGGAGGTGGTCACCCTGGGGTCTTTGTGTTGTTCTAGGAGACACGGGAGTGCTAAGTGGGAAAGAAAGTTGGGTGTGGACGCAGACAGAGCGAAAAGCAGACAAGGATGTTCGAAGGGATGAAGGGATGCACCTTGTGTTGGGTGCTTTGGACTGGCACACACGAATGAAGAAAGGGTCGAGGGCTCAGTACAATTGGGCAAACCCAAAATCTTGCAGTCAGGGTAACGAGGCAAAAGGCCTTCAAGAAGAGCTGGTCCTCAGAGAGGTTCCAGCGGCCCCAGGACAGGGACTTGGCGTGGACATTGTGAACTTCAGCAAGGAGACCCCTCCCACTCCCTCCAGCCCCTTCTGTGTCTGCCTTCACATGGAGGGTCCCACTGTGCAGCTGGGCACAGTGTTCCCTGAGGGAAGAGAAGCCCCTACCACTCCCTTCTCACCCAGCTGCACACTGACCATCCCTGACCATTTTGGATGATCCCACCCTGACTAGACCCCTGGAGTCTGGTTCTGCCTGCTCCTGTGGGTGAGGACCCCAGGAGGTGTTTGACCCTGGAGTACAGGCATCCCAAATCATAGTCTCTTGTCAGAGATCGAGACTTTTCAGCTCCAAAGCGAGACACAAAAGGACTGGTGACTTCTGCTGTGGAGCTGGGCCTCTAGTTGAGTGTCCATATAACTGGACGCTTGTTCTTCCTCTGGGAGCATTGGGGTTCCTGTATTTTGGGGCTCCCTCCCTCCATCCATACTGCACACTTGGCTCTTTCTCCAAGCAGGGACTCCAGGTCCCACACCCCAGCCTGAACCCACATGACCACTCACTTGGGTCTTGGCTTCTCCTCTGATCACCGCAGCAGAGGCAGGAAGGGGAGATGGGGAGAGAGACAAGATGAGACCAGGTGAGACTCTCTTTGGCTGAGCCCTCCAATCCCCAACCCAACCCACCAGTAACATGGGGGTCTTGTTTCCACTCCAGACTTGAGAAAGTCCCCAGTGGGGTCCAAGGAGAGCTCAGGGTATGGGAATGGGGACACAGGGGGTGGGTGGCAGAGAAGAAATGGAGATGAAGGAGAAGAGACAATCAAAAGTGGGAGGTGGCATCCTCGGAGGAAGACATGCAGGGAAGAAGGGGACTTGGGGGCAGGAAGAAATGAAGACATGGTCGAGAGAGCAGGAGGAAGGCAGTCTGCCAGAGAGGGACTTGGAGGAGCTGAGGAGGGAACAAGGATGGGAACAAGGGTGTGTGGAGTGTGCCCTGCTCAGCTCTGGTCTGTCCTCGTCTCTAGCCAGCCTCACAGACCACCCCCTCTGTGTGGGGCAGAAGTAAGGTCACAGATAGACGAGCAGGCAGCGAGAGGGACCGGGAGGCAGGTGGACAGCAGGCAGGAGGGAGACGGAGGGCCCTTTCCGTCTTATGTCAGGCTCATCCCTGGGAAGGACTGTCAAGGGGCAGAAACAGCAGAGCTGAGGGTGGGGGCACAACGGTGGGCAGGACAAGCAGCCCTTACCTTCTTCATTCTCCCCCAGCTCCTCCTCAGTGGCATCTTCGGGATGCAAGCGGACATGCAAGAGAAAGGCCGTGCAGAGGCAATACCCAGCGCCCCCCCGCAGACCCTGGCCCACGAGTGCCTGAGCTGGGGGTGGGTGGGGGGCAGCAGAGGGAATGGAGAGCTGGGTCCCAATGGAGACTAGATTCAGGAGCATCTGCGGCAGGGGCCTGGGTGCAGTCTGTCCCCTTGGGCCTAGCAGGATTATTCTTGGAAACTGAGACCCCCCTGGGTTGGAGCCCCTGAGTTGGGCTGGGGGTGCAGACCCAAGGTCAGTCTGGTTGGGAGTAAATTCAGAGACTGAGCCTGCAGGCCCCCCTGTAGAGCCTCCAGTTTAACTTCCTGCTCTGTAAGACTTGTTAAGGCTTTCAGCTTGGCCTGGACCCGGATAGTGACTACTGACTCTACCTGTCTGGGCCTGCCTCGGGTCAGGGACCTGGCTTAAGACCCTAGCCCTCAACCCTTGGACTCTGGCTGTGTGAACCCCATAGAGCCAGGCTGAACGGAGAACACCCTTGGCCTCCTCAGGGAGCTGCAGGCCCCAACTCTGAGGTCAGCGAGGGCTTAGGAAGCCGCCACACACACCCACACCTCACTGGCTGTGCTCAGTCAAGGTGACCATCTTGGGGCAGAGGCCGAGGCAGGGGGACAAAGGACCTGCAGTTCTGGACCCCCGGAAATGGCATGTGGATGAAGGCCTGAAATGAACTCCCTGAAACTTTAGTGTCCTTACCTCTACCTCGGGGTATGGCCCCACAGCGGGGGTGGGGGTGAAGTGGGGAGGCCCACCCAGCCCTCCTTGAGCTGGGTGTGTCTGGCGCCGGTCCAGTGATGGGTGGGATTCTACCTGACTGATCTGGTACTTGCACGCATGGCCCCCGGCCGTTCCTAGTCCTCACCCTCACCTAGGGCCGCAGCCCACTTTCTGCTTCCCCCCCACTTGCCCCTCCACCCTCCTGACTTTCCTACCCTGCTGCTCCTCCTCTGCTCATCCCCACTCCACCCTGGTGGATCCAGAGGGTCCCAGTGGACTCTAGTACAACACCCCTCTCCAGGGCCTAACAGTCTCTAAAACTGGCCACTGTACACCTTCTTGCTGGTGGCCTGGGAAGTGCCCCCAGGTCCTCAGTCCTCTGCTTGGGTGACACGGAGAGCAGAAGGAGTCTACAGCTCTCTCATCGGCCAGTCTTCTACAAGCCAGCTCTCCCTCCAGGGCCAGCTTGGCCCCACTGCATCCTCAGGCCATAGGCCAGGGTGGTCACTGCTGTGGTCAGCGGAGGGAGCAAGCGAGGGAGGAAGAGGAGAGACAGGGAGGGAACAGACGTGGCATTCAAACAGCCCCCCATGTATGCATACCTTCTTGAACCTCTTCTGCAGAAGCAGCATCGGTGGGCACATGGGAGAGAAAGTGGGGGAGAAATAACTGTTGTGAGAATGTGTGAGGTGAGTGGGGAGGGTCTGACAGGGAACACACAGCAGGGCATAGGAGTCTAAGCCAACCAGGGTGTGAGCAGGCCACATTGCCCTCTTGTTCCTCTGTCTGCATACATCACACATGGCCACACATGTGCACAAATGCCACATGGAGATGAAGTCATGTCACATACCTGGCTCATGAACTTCATGGGGGAAGGAGGGCCATGGAACAAGAGGGAAGACCAAAGGTCAGAGATCAAAGGAGAAGGAAGTCCAGATTAGAGGGCAGCCCACCACCATTGGAGGGTTAGCGGAGAGGTGGGGGTGGGACACATGCAAAAAGTGAGCAAGAGATGGTCAGTGGTCAGTACCAGCCCGGGCACCCCATGTCCCCAAGGATGCCGCTGGTCCTGCCTCGATAGGAGAAACAAGCTCCAGGGTTCTGTTTGGAGCTGGCTTCTGCTTTTACAGTGACAATGCCTGTCTTGGCCATTATCAGAGTCAAGGAAAGGGTCCCATTGGGGAGTCCTTGGACCCAGGCCAGGGCCTGCATCCAGGGAGACAGATTGGAAAGGGGGGGCCTGGGGCACACCCTAGACACCTTCCATCTCTCACCCTGCATTGTGGACTCACTGACAGTGCGCTGTACCCACCCATGCTGACCCAGCTGCCTTCTAGTCTCAGACCCTAAGGAGAGGTACTCTGCCCTGGGTTGGGAGGGGTGGTCTAGAGTGACAAGGACCCCTGCTTGGGGCTGACTAAGGGACCACAGCCCTTGAGGGGGCTGCGGTGGGCCAGAGCACCGATGAAGGTCTCGACTGGGAGCCCAGTGCCCCCTCCCATTTGCTTTCTCTTTCACTATTGCCCAGACCTTTCATGGGGCACACAGGGGGTTTTGACCCAGTAGGGTCCCTCCATTATCTACTTGAACTGGTGTCAGGGACAGAATCTGACTATGCCCAGGAATCTTGGTCACAGTCCCCACCTGACCCCAGTTCCCCGGCTCAGAGATTTCCTCCCCAAGATAACTCAGCCCATTTCAGCCCAGTCCTCGCCAGTCCCCACCAACCAGGTTCTGTGGATCATTGGGACGATGGGAATCTGTGGCTGGCTCAGCCTGGGGTTCCCATCCTCCCTGGACAAGCAGTGGGTGTGGTTAGTGGGTTACTTTGGGACCACATGTGAGGCCCTGCTGCCTGCCCACCCATGCCTCCACCCTCTTCAGGCGCCAGCTGGGCCCCAGGCCCCACAAGCAATCGAAAGTCTTATGTTGTATACCTTCTTCTTGGACTTCTTCAGGAGACGTGGGCCACGTGCACAATGGTGGGGAGAGAGAGGAGAGGGTTAGACAAGGAGGTACATACGGCAGGTTCTAAGAAGTAGAGATTGAGGGGTCAGAGTGGGTAGGGGCACAGGCAGGCATGTTGGGGACACTTGGGTTGTAGGTTGGGGCAGAAAAGTTGGGAGGTCTGGCAGTGAGCTTACCTTCTTCTGGCGCCTCTTCTGGAGAGCCGGGAGCAGGAGGCACAAGGGAGAGAGGGAATAAGGAGAGTCATTAGAGGTGTATGCCCGGGGCTGGTGAGGTGAGGGCTGGTCCCTGTGAGGAGGGTCAGCCTGCATTTCTGGGCCCTGTCCTGGCTAAAGACAAGAGTGAGCAGGCAGAGGCTCCTTAGGGAGATCATGCTGCCTCTCCTCACATGGTGACTACCTTTTGCAGTTTTGCTTCCCAGTGTCCAGGGCTCAGAGAGACCACCAAGGTGTTTGAGCAAGAGGGACATCTTGCTCAGTTGTCAGGAAGGAGGATAAAGTCCCTGTGTTACTGGACTGGCCTGGGACCCATGCCATGTGCACCCACCAAAACCCATTGGCTGAGCAGAGTTAGCAACAACATATCTGCACTGGGCCAGCAGTTGTAACAAATGTATCACACAGAGGACCAGCAGGAATGCAGAACAGGAGGGCTACGGGGAGCTCTCTGTTCTCTGTGTAAGTTTTCTGCACTCCTAAAACAGCTCGAAACAAAATAAATAAAGTCTATCAATTTAGAAAGGAAAATACAAACAGAAAAACAATCCTACTGCTTGGCCACGTTCTCCCCCTCGGAGAATGTCCACAAGGAAGGTCCCTGGGCTGACCCTAGAGGGTCAGCTTCCTGGAATTTTCACATGGGAGGCCCTGGAAGTCCCCGTTTTCCATGACTCTATCTGTCCTGCCACACTCTTCCCCAAACCAGCAGTTCCCACCCAGAAAGGTCTCTTTTACCTTTTCGCAAGAAAATAAAAGACGTATTTTGGTTCATGTTGTTAAGGTAGCCAAGTGTTTTCAAAGTACTTTCAAAACATATCACCGGGCTTCTGGCAGTGGCGTGAAAGCTCTTGGATTGAGCCATGTCAGTGCCAGGTGCCAGGTGCCAGGGCTCGGGAACGCAGTCTGAAAACAGCCAGACTGCACAGCTCACAGCCCCAAGTCTGCCCAGGCACGCCCGAGGCTGCCGGCAGCACAAGACAAGGGTGGGATCCCAGATCATGCTTGAAGGTTGTGAGGATGAGGGGCAGAAGACAGGAGATACAGAGAGAAACAGAGTCACATACTGAGAGAGACAGAAATACACACACAGAGAGAAGAAAGAGACAGAGAGATAGAGATTCTGAGGCAGAGAAATGAGACAGATACAGAGTCTATTCCTAAAAGAAGTGGGCACAGAGGGGGATACTGAGAGGGACAGACTCAACAGAGACTGACCAAGAGAGAGATGTGGACACAGTTTAATGTCTTGCACATCAAGGCACCTGATATTAACCAGAATGAGAGTGTTGTTGTTGTGTGAAGAGCCACCAAGTCAATTCCGACCCATCGCAACCCTGTATAGGGTTTCCAAGGAGCAGCTGGTGAGCTTGAACCACTGACCTTGCAGTTCAAATGACCTTGCAGTCTGATGCATTAGCCCACAGCGCCACAGTGTGAGTGAGAACAATAGGGACTAAATCCCAGGTAACTCCAAACACCCATAGCACAATGAGAAAAGTTAATAATGATCATGGATGGTAAGGATGAGACATTAATGACCAAGGGTCATTAAGATAAGGTTACTAATGACCACGGCAATGAAGATGAGCTATTAGTGACCATCGGTGATGAGGACGAGGTATTAACGACTGTACACAATGAGAATCAGGTATTAACAACCATGGATGACGAGGATAAAGTATTAACGACCATGGACCTTGAGGATGAGGTATTAATGACCACGGATAAAGATGAGGTTATTAGTGACCATGGGTTTGAGGATGAGATATTAGTGACCATGGATGATGAGGAGAAGGTAGCAATGACCACGGCGATGAAAATGAGGTATTAGAGGCCATGGGTGATAAGAATGAGATATTAATGACTGTGTGTCTCGGTGTGGCGTGGTGGGTTCATGCGCTGGACTTCGAAGTTGGTTTGAACTGCAAGGTTTGCAGTTCAAACTCACCAGCCGCTCGTCAGAAACCCTATACAGGGTTGCTATGGGTTGGAATCGACTCGGTGGCACTTAACAACAACAACATGATGAGGATGAGGTATTGATGACCACGGACAATAAGGATGAAATATTAGTGACCACGGGTGACAAAGATGAGGTATTAATGAACATGGACAATGAAGGTGAGGAATTAATGACCATGGATGACAAGGATGAAGTATTAATGAACATGGACAATGAAGGTGAGGAATTAATGACCATGGATGACAAGGATGAAGTATTAATGAACATGGACAATGAAGGTGAGGAATTAATGACCATGGATGACAAGGATGAAGTATTAATGAACATGGACAATGAGGGTGAGGGATTAGTGACCATAGTGACGAGGGAATGACCGTGGACAATGAGAGTGAGGGATTAGTGACCATGGTGATGAGGATGAAGTATTAATGACCACAGATGACTATGTTGATGCATTAATGGATTAGAGATACAGAAAGTTAGTGGTGGTAACATGGGAAGATGAACTGTTACAAGCTCAAGGAGGGCCTGAGAGCCATGGTGGGTGGGGCTGCAGGGTCCCAAGCAGGAAAAGACGAGGTTCAGAGGAGGCAGGCACTAGCGAGGTCTCTAAAGGTTGTAAAAATTACCTTCCTCTTCATACTGTTCTGTATTGGGATAGAAACAAAAGAGAGTGGCCAGTTAGCTGAGTCCCCAGGGCCAGCCTGAGGCCACAGAGGAGGTTGAGGAATAGAGATGGACCCAGAAGAGGCTTGCCCGTGCCAGAGGAGGAAGAGATTTGTGGGGTGTTCCAAAACTCTGGGTGTCCCTGCACTGTTATGGGGAGCACCTTCCAGGGCAAACTTTTTAATGGTGACCAGAAAGATAAAGACCCAAGGACTAGAGGCAGAAGGGAATGCCCATTGTCTGAAATCTACCCAGTGTACATAGCAAGTCTGGGGCATCCAGTTCACTGGGTCTCCAAGGAGACATATAGTGTCTGCAACCAAATGTACCCCTCACCCCAAGGTCTTCTGTGTAGGTGGGTGTGAAGGGATGGACAATAGTTTTGACACTTACCCTCAACCTGTTCACTGTAAGAGAGAGAGAGAGAGAGAGAAAGAGAGAGAGAAGGTGAGGGTAAGTTTTTGCCCAGGCAGCAGTCCCTTCATCCTGAAAACGTTTCCTGAGCCAAGTTGTCAGAGGGTCCCAAGTGGGGCGGGGCTGGCAAGTCAGACAGGTACTCACGTTTCCTCGTCAGACATGGTGATACTGGATTGTTTCTGGAGAGAGAAAAGACTTGGTTAAGAAGTGCTGGAGAAAGACTGGGCTGAGCTCTTGGAACTGGGGGATAAGGAGAAGGCCTTCCTAGGCAGAGGTAGAGGGGCCTGTGTGGGTTCACCTCCCAGCCTTAGGCCCTTCAGAAGACCCCTAGCTTCTTCCAAGGTTGTCCCTCCTGTCGTTTCACCCTCCCCCAGCACTCTCTGCAAAGGGTCATCCAGAATGCATGGATTTGTCCAGGGCCACCGCCCTCCTGCCCAAGTCCTGCTGATGTGGTATTTGACCTGCCTCCCCCAATGGTTCCAGGGTCCCTGAGATCACTGGGTTCTGGATTCCCCAGATGATTCATTTGGACCTTCTCTGGGCTGCCCACCCCAGAACTTCCCATGGAAATCTCTCCTCTTTGTGGGAGCCCCAAGTCCCCTTCTATGCCCATGGTTTGTTTGAAAGGACCATTCATTCTCTTCAAGGGGAGTCCAGGGGCCTCCTGTGTGCACAGCCCTTCTCCCCCAGCCCTCTGGGGACCCTCACAAAACCATGAAGCATAGGAGCTGCTAGGGTTAAACTAGCCTGAGTACTCGACTTTGTGGAGCCAAGGATAGGGACCCAGAGACATGGGAACATAGGAACAGGCCTGGCTGTTCCATCCAGTGCCTCAACAAGGCCCACATGGCTGCAGGACTGCAGAGGGCCCCTTCCCCCCGCCTCCAACGAGGCCGCTTTCCCAGGCCCCAGCACGCTCTTGAATTTGTCAATGTCTGCGGGAAGAGCCAGGCCGGACATGACCAGGTGTGGCTCAGCGCTCAGGGACTGTCTGCTCATGGGCTGGCCACCGCTCATGGGCGGTTGGGGCTGGGGGCCTCACAGCTGCCTCAGAATGTTGGCTCCGGGTTTCAAAACCCTAGTTCCTGACAACACATTACAGCTTGAAGACAATCACTCTGGCCCCCCAGGGAACTTCATATAAGAAAAACACAAGTTCATCATCTAAAAACGCATCTACATCATATTTCTAAGGTGGGAAATGTTCTCCAAACCCGCTTTCAAGAATGTTCGTTTTCCCAGAGCAACTTAAGCTCCATGCAAAATTAACCAGCAAATATCTGCTGACTGCCTGCCAGGGGGCCTCAGCCTCCACAGCCCCTTCCCGGAACTCTACTGCCTCCTTCAGACACAAGCTGCCTTCTCTTCTCAGACCTCAGCCCCTGCCACGTGGTGCCACCTGGTCCTCTGCCTTTGCCCTGGATCCCCATGGCCCCTCCCTGTCCACTCCATAGGGCTGAGGGGCACGGACATGTTCTAGCACCCAGACTTGCTGTGCTCAACCCTGTCATCTGTCCAGGAGGGTGGCCGCTCTGGCCTGGGCCCAGGGACAGGATATTTTTAAGGAGTTGGTGGCAGCTGGGGTGTCCAGGAATAGGTACCAAAATTAGCCAAGATGCCTCAGCTCAGAAACCCAAGATGGTGGTGGTTGGTGGGCCTCAACCAGGTCAGCTCAGCCCTCCCTGCCCCTGAGATGTCACCTGCCCGCTGACTGGGGTTCCAAGTAGGCACCCAGCGAGGGCCCCCAAGTGGCCTGGGAAGATCCGCTTTTGCGGGGCCCGTTCTGCCTCTGCTGCTGGCTGTGAGGCTTTGGGATCCCCTGGGGCTCCTGTTCCTACATGGGGTCTCTGGGACCCAGGCCCGCTTCAGGGAGGAGGTGTGGAGGACCCTGGGGGCGGGGACAGGCTTTGGACAGCTGAGAATGCAGCCCGTGGTCAGTTCTCAGCTTCTCCCTTCAAGGCGTAGGCATGAAAATAGCCTCTGAAGTCATCGTTCCTTGGGGACACATGTGTTCCTTGGGGACACATGCCCTCCTTTCCTCCTTCCT